AAAGTACTCGAGGGGGGAGCAAGACAGAGAAATGGAGACTAGGAAGGTGGGTGCTGACAGCAAAGAGAAGGTGAAGGCTGGCATGGGGGCCAAGTGCACCGTGGAGGCAGAGCACATTTGGAAGGGGTCTGAGGTGTGGCCAAGAACCAGCTTCTGCCACAAGGGACTGCAGAGAAGCATGCTTTCAGGGGAAGGCCAAGTTCCTTTACTGCACAAGCGGAAGACTTTATTCCGTGAGAAGGACAAAGAGAGGGGCTTGTTTACGTGGGAAGAAAGGGAGCCATGGCAGATGAAAGGGTGAGAGCAGCTGGGGCAAGGAAGACCAGGGCAGCATGGGAAGAGGAGATGGGGAAGGTGCCCTTGTCTGATGAGGATGGACAAAAGCTGGGGAAGCTTGAGCTCTTTGGAACCAGACACAGCCCAGGGTCCCTGGCAGCACCTGGCCTGGTCACCAGGGCACTGTGTGCCACACGGAGGGGTGTTAGGGGCCTGTACTTCCCTTGAGCACCCCTGGCCTCAGCTCCGGTGCTCCATGCCACAGGTATGGGTGGGGAAAGGGGATCAGAGGCCTGAGACCATCCTGTGCTGGCCCTCACCTCCCCTCCCCCATGTCCTACAGATGAGGATGAGTGTGAGGCCGGGACTGTGTGTGACAATGGCATCTGCACCAACACGCCAGGCTCTTTCCAGTGTCAATGCCTCTCTGGCTATCATCTGTCAAGAGACCGGAGCCGATGTGAGGGTGAGCAGTGCCAAGAGTTGGGAGTTAACCTGTTCCTCCCTACCTCAGGACTTCCACTGCGCAGGCTCCAAGCCCAGGGGCTCCCTGTAAACAAGCCAGGCCCTTTCCTGTCCAGCCCCAATCCGGATCAGAGATGGGGCATGAGGTGTGGGCCCAACCCAGGGGTCTGGGGGTAGCCTTGGCAGCCTTCTGCTGTCTGAGTGGAGTGAGTCCCTGAGATCCCCTACCTTTGATCCTCTACAGACATTGATGAGTGTGACTTCCCCGCAGCCTGCATTGGGGGTGACTGCATCAACACCAATGGTTCCTACCGATGTCTCTGTCCCCAGGGGCATCGGCTGGTAGGCGGCAGGAAGTGCCAAGGTATGGGGGGATTGGCTGAGAGTTCCTGAGGAGGGATGGCAGGGAATGGCAGTCATCTCCTAGATACACTGTTGATCTGTCTTTCCATCCATCCGTCTGTCCACACATTCACGCAGCCTTCAACTCCTTCACCTAGAATAGCAACAGTAATAATGAAAGTAATTACGTGGCACTTACTCTGTGCCAGCTCACCCTTAGGTGCAGTAGCCAGCAGGAGTTTACTGAGAACCTACTATTTGCCACCTTCTATCCTATGTACAGATGTGGAGCAACCACCCAGGGTTCCCACTAGGGGAGGCTGACATATAAACTGATTCCTACCATTCAGGATGCCAAAAGAGGTCTGGACAAATGATTAACTGGCAACAGAAAGGTGACAGTTGAATTGGAACTTGGAGCATAAAGATGATCCCCTAACACATAAATAAGTCCCCATGCAGAGAGAAGCACGGATGGTATTCCAGGCCCAAAGAACAGTGTGTTCAAAGCACAGAGATCTGGAAGGAGCTAGTTGTGTTTTGTGTGGAAAATGCTCCTAACGTAGAGTTGGGGGGTGCTGGTGTTTAAAGGATAAAACTGAAAGATATCAGGAAGCCAAACTGCAGGTCCTCAAATGCCGAGTTGAGGACTCCATTTGTTGTCAGTGACAGCCATCACAGGTTTCAGGAAGAAGACAGTGAATGTGCACACCTCTACCCACAGGCACAGACAGACACGAGCAGACTTCCTATTGTGTGTACTTTGAGATCAAAGTGGAAGTTTGAGTTCTGAGCTTGTGTGAGTCCCTGGAGGCACATCCTTAGAAAAGAGGGGCTGGTTCCCTTGGAGCAACTATTTCTGCTTCCCTCCCTTGCCACAGACATAGATGAGTGCAGCCAGGACCCGGGCCTGTGCCTTCCCCACGGGGCCTGTGAGAATCTGCAGGGCTCCTACGCTTGCATCTGTGATGAGGGCTTCACGCCCACCCAGGACCAGCACGGCTGTGAGGGTGAGTGCCCTCCAGGCTCCTCCTCAGGCTGCACCACTTCCCTTAGCTGCAGCTTTGGTGCAGAGATGGACTCTGGAATCTGGGGAATGGGGAGAAGTGCCTTGCAGGGGAGCCCTGAATGCCACGTTGAGGATGGAGCTTGACCCTGGACAGGGCAGCTGAGGGGAGCCAGGGAATGTGAAAGAGCAGAGGAATGAGGTTGGTGGGGAGGTGGGTTGGCGAGACTGCAGGGCCCTGAGCTGCCCTCCGCTCCCCTCAGAGGTGGAGCAGCCCCACCACAAGAAGGAGTGCTACCTTAACTTCGATGACACGGTGTTCTGCGACAGTGTACTGGCCACCAATGTCACCCAGCAGGAGTGCTGCTGCTCACTGGGGGCTGGCTGGGGAGACCACTGCGAGATCTACCCCTGCCCAGTCTACAGCTCAGGTCAGGAGTCTCCATTTCTTCATTTTGGAAACAGAGTAGGGGAACGGCCTTCCCTGGGTCGGTGGGAAATGGGGCGGAGAGTTCCGACCTGACCCCGACAGCCAGTGCGCACGCGCTCAGTCCTGCCTCCTTTCCTTCCCACGGCCGTTCTCTCCCCACAGCCGAGTTCCACAGTCTCTGCCCAGACGGGAAGGGCTACACCCAAGACAACAACATTGTCAACTATGGCATCCCAGCCCACCGTGGTAAGCCCCAACGCGGCTCCGCCCACCGATGTTGGGACCGCCGCGACCCCGCCCGTGCTCTCTAGTTCGGTAGCGAGCACTGGGGTAAGCCCCGCCCACGCCTTCAGCGCCTGCCCCGCCCCTATCCCCGCTCACGTCAGCGTCGGGAAAAGCCTCTCCCACTGAGTTTGCTCCGCTCCCGCGGTAAGCCCCGCCCACACCGCCCTGACCGCGTGCCCGAGCCGCCGGGCAGGTGGAGGCCACAGGCACCCGCGGCTTGTCACTCCATAGACATCGACGAGTGCATATTGTTTGGGGCGGAGATCTGCAAGGAGGGCAAGTGCGTGAATACGCAGCCGGGCTACGAGTGCTATTGCAAGCAAGGCTTCTACTACGACGGGAACCTACTGGAGTGCGTGGGTAAGGGGCCATTGGACAGTGGCCGGGAGACGCGCACAACCATCCGACTTCGGGCCCGTACCGTCCACTCGCGCTCTTCCTCCCCGCAGACGTGGACGAGTGCCTGGACGAGTCCAACTGCCGGAACGGAGTGTGTGAGAACACGCGCGGCGGCTACCGCTGTGCCTGCACACCACCTGCCGAGTACAGCCCTGCGCAGCGCCAGTGTCTAAGCCCTGAGGAGATGGGTGAGGCCCAGGCCTGCTGGCTGGGGAACCAGGAGGGGAGCGGGGACGGGCCGAGCTGTGACCGCCACCCCCCCATGCCCTCGCTACCCGTAGACATAGACGAGTGCCAGGACCCGGCAGCCTGCCGCCCTGGTCGCTGCGTCAACCTGCCGGGCTCCTACCGCTGCGAGTGCCGCCCGCCCTGGGTGCCCGGGCCCGCCGGCCGAGATTGCCAGCTCCCAGAGAGCCCAGCCGGTGAGGGCGAGTTGTCCTGGGCCGACTCCAGGGCCCGGACCTCCGCTGTGTGGTGTCCAGGGGTCGCAGCCCTGCAAGGGTAGGTTGGAACCGGGAGCTGACTGTCCCCCCTAGCTGATGCCTGGTGTTCCTCCATAGAGCGTGCCCCAGAGCGACGGGACGTGTGCTGGGCCCAGCGTGGAGAAGATGGCATGTGCGCGGGGCCCCTGACCGGGCCAGCCCTCACCTTCGACGACTGCTGCTGTCGCCAGGGCCGCGGTTGGGGGGCCCAGTGCCGCCCCTGCCCACCTCGCGGTGCTGGTGGGCACTGCCTGGGAGCAGCTGGCAGAGGAGTATTGGGGCGGGAGCCCGGGTGCATCCCAGTCACTGACCGCCCCTGTCCCTCCCAGGGCCCCAGTGCCCGACGTCGCAGAGTGAGAGCAACTCCTTCTGGGATGCCAGCCCCTTGCTGCTCGGGAAGCCCCCTCGAGGTGAGTGTAACAACGGGGAAGGGACAGAGGCGACGAGGGTCATCAACCATCAGCTTGGTGGAGGTGGAGGTTGATGTCCGCATTCTCCCCGCCCGGCGCAGAAGAGGACAGCTCTGAAGAGGATTCAGATGAGTGCCGCTGCGTGAGTGGCCGCTGCGTGCCCCGGCCGGGCGGTGCGGTGTGCGAGTGTCCCGGTGGCTTCCAGCTCGACGCCTCTCGTGCGCGCTGCGTGGGTAAGCGAGCCGGGGGAAGGGGGCAGGGCAGGGGCTGTGGGGGGTGGGGCCAACGCCCAGGCCAGCTGCAGGGGGGTGGAGGGGCACACTAAGGGGGTTGCGTGTTCTGGCGCCCTTGGTGAAGCCCGCACCTGTCGCCCTCACTTCCAGACATCGATGAGTGCCGAGAGCTGAACCAGCGCGGGTTGCTGTGCAAGAGTGAGCGCTGCGTGAACACGAGTGGCTCCTTCCGCTGCGTCTGCAAAGCTGGCTTCGCGCGCAGCCGCCCGCATGGGGCCTGCGTGCCCCAGCGTCGCCGCTAACGGAGAGCCAGACCTTGGCCATCAGCGAGGGGCTTCCACCTGACCCCCTGGGCGAGCTCTGCCTCTATCGTCTGCCGTGACTCCGGGCTTAGACCCAGAGCTCTCCAGGGCCCGCAGACCCCTTCCTGTGCCTGGAGTTCCAAGGGCATCTGTAGCGGGATGCCACCCAGGTCACAGGTGGAGATTGGGTCTGGGGCACTGGAGGCTTCCTCCCAGAGGGCATTTCCTGGAAACTGATAAATCAGATTGTGCCTCTTTACTCTTGGCTTTCGAACAAATCGATGTTCACGTCTGCGATGGGCATGGACTCCACAGGGCAGCACCAGACCCAAGCCTCCTAGGAGGGGCTACACTGAGCCCAGCACCGGGGTGTGAAATAGAATTTATTGTGGCTCTGATTATGTACACGTGAGATGTGTCTGGCCAGGGGGCCAGGCTGGCAATGGTTTGTACAATAAATACATCTGTGGGCCTGCTCTCCACAGCTGCAAGCGCCCACACCGACAGTTCAATCCAGCTTGCGGGTCCCCAGCTTCATGGGACCCTTGGCTGCCTTCTTCTCCGCGCGTTTGGCCTCCATCTCTCGCCGCCGCTCCTCGCGCTTTTTCCGGGCCAGCTCAGCCTTCCCTTGCCCTGGGAGCAGGAGGAAGAGGTGGGCTGAGGGCTTCAGGACCACAGGGGTCTTGGCTTCCCAGCGTGTACCTGCCCAGGGCCCTGGTCCGCCCCCCCCCCCCCCCCCCGCCACTGCCACCCCTGCCAGGGGAAGCACTTCCCAGGGGAAGCACTTACGGCTCTCTGTCTCCAGACCCTCCCAGTTGTCATCGCCCCAAGAATCAGGTCTCAGCTGAAAGGGAAGTGTGGCTAGAGTGGAGGTGGACTCCCAGCTGAGGTATACCCCAGTCTGTACCCTCAAGTGGATGGGTGCCAAGTACCTGGATGCCAGCCTCCCGTCGTGCAGACATGGCAGCAAAGGGATCACCTTTGTCACTGGGCTCCGAGCCACCCCAGTTATACTCGCTGGCCGGCCTTGTGCCCTCAGGGGGTGGTTCTGGGGGACTTGGCTCCTGCCAGCCCTGCTCCCATGAGCCCTCGGCTTCCCAGCTGCTCCAGTCTGACTCAGGGGATTTGGGGTCCACATTGCTGGTCTGCAGGTGGAGAGGTAGTGCCTGATGGGATGGGGGGGGAGCTGACCCCCCCCACAGGAACTCCCCTGTCCCACCCCACTTACCTGCCCACCACGGCTAGCCTGGCCCCCAATACTCCAGTCTTCCTGCTGGGCCAACACAGATTCGGCCTCCTGCTGCAGTGTGGGAAGGAGAGCACGACTATAGACACTCCAGCCCCCACCCAAAGGGCAAGGAGCCTGCCAGCCTCTTCTCAGCCATGGGCTCCACCCTTTCTTCTTTTGCATTCCATCTCATTTGCTCCTCAAGCCTTGTTTCCCATCTACAGAGTGGATGTGTCATCGTTCCTCCGAGGCTGGGGAATGAGATCTAGCAGTTCCACACCCCTCTCCACAGCCCTGGGCCAGAGACTGCTGTCAGCAGTGGAGAGGTCTGCCCCCATTCCCTTCAGGGTAGCTCCACTCCATAGGCCTGGGAATGGCCTCTCCTTACTAACCATTGGAGCTATTGGGGGAAGGATGGGGAGCAGAAGAGGGTGAGAAGACCAATGGACTGCCCCCAAAACCACCCACCTGGACTTTCATTTCCAGCCCTGCTCCCAGAGGCCCTTGGGTTTAGTGGGTGTCAGCTGCCAGCTCTTATACACCAGGGCCACTCCATGACACCTACTTAACCAGGGATGCTGTGCAGAGGAGGCCAGGCATGACTCCAGCCAAGCTCACCTGAGCTCTTTGAAGGCAGCCTATAACATCTGAGCTAGAGTGGCCTGAGGAGACCCTTTCAGCCCCACTCACCTCCAGGCTGCCCCAGTCTTCATCATCCCATCTGTCGGCAGTATTGCTGTCCTCCACTGTGTCTGTGCTCTCCTCTTGTGTCTCCCAGTGGCCTGAGGTTGTGGATGTGGCAGGGACAAGGGTGGGGGCCAGGGCAGGAAGTCCTGAGGAGCAGAGGATCACTGAGCTCCCATACACTGGGGCCCAGAAAGGTCTCAAAACAGGGAGAGGTTGCTGGGGTAGGGGGGAAGGTAGGGAGGAGAAGCTCATGAAGGGATAAGACCCTGCCCTGTCTCCCACATCACCACCACCCCTGGGGAAGCCAGACAGTAACTACTCCTCCGAGCCCTCTCAGTCACTGATGCAGCCCTGGGGCACTCACCCTCAGGTGTGGGTCTCTGGGGGATGTTGGGCTCAGCCGGGGCAGCTGTTGGGTGCGCACGGATCAGCTTGGAGGTGAGCGAGGAGACTCCTGTCACAGCCCAGCCTGCCCAGCTGGCTGCGGCTCCTCCCATTCCTGGGCTGGAGGCCGCATGGACATCCTTTTCTAGACAATGATGAGAGAGAGAAACAGGTATAGTCACCCCAGGGCCTCATGGGGAAGATGACAGGAAGGCAATAACTGACACGGAGCAACTTGTAGTGGCCCTCTCTTCTCCAGACCTGTGCACCCGCACCCCATCTGTGAGATGGGAGTGGGGTGGGTGAGGAGCAATGGTGTCAGGTCTGCTCTTTGAGGTTCTTCCAGCTTTCAGATACTCCAGGGAGGTGGAAGGGGGCCATGTGAGGTGATAGTCGAAGATGTGGGAGAAAGAGGGAACATGAGTGTGGGCCACTCACCCACTTCAGCCAGCTGGGTGGGGTCCTCTGACACAGACTCCAGTTTGGACAGGAAGCTTCGAATGGCCTTGAAGGCCTGTGGGGTAGTAAGGGGCAGAGCTGGGGCCTCCAGGGTTCCCGTGAGCCCACCAGGCCAGCTAGAGCCCAGATATCCCCCGAGCCTCAGCTCCAGAGCCCGGGCCCAGCTGTGCCTCACCTGGTCTCGCACGGATTTCTCGGGATCCACGGTGAGGCCACAGAGCACAGGCAGGATCTTGTGGGCACAGTCGTTCATCGAGTAGAGGTTGTGGGTGGCAGCGAAACCCAGGACCCCCGCCACCCGGGAAGGTGCAAAGGGGTCCTTAGTGGCACGGCTGAAGGCGGAGGTGAGGACCCTGTGCCTAGTCTGGGAGGGGTAGGGGAGAGGGCTCCTGAGTGTGGGGTCAGTCCTGGGACCCAGAACTGCCAGACCTGCTGCAGAGCAGAGGCCATCCACAGGCCCCCTGACCCCAAGTCTGAAAAAGATGAGCAAATCACTAACAAAGGAGGAGAATTTTTACTTAAAACTCCAGCTTGGCTTCTCCTCCCAGTTCAGTGGGTTCATGATGCCTCAGGACCACAGGGGCCAGAGCAGCGGCTTCCCTGCAGCCTGTGCCTCTCTCCCCACCTACACCATTGACACCATTCATTCATTCATTCATTCCTGCTGTCTGTGCATTGCAGTCGTCTCCATTTACAAACCCCGGCTGAGGGAATGCACATGTGTCATGGGGCCAGGCAAGCCCAGGTTCAGTTCCCAGATTCACCACCATCTACCCCTCAGACACTGGGGCTGGGAGGATGCCAGCCTCCGCACAAGGAGGCCTAGCCCTAGAGGATGCTGGGTCCTGAGACAGGGACAGAGGTCCCAGGGCACTCACACTGGCATTGAGGTAGGAGCCGATTTTGCCCAGGCAGACGGTAGTGTTGCAGCGAATGGGGCCCTGTTCATCCTTGGCCTGCAGCCGCGCGAAATGCTTCATCAGCTCCACATTGAGGTTGGCCTCGTTCAGCTTTGGGGCCAGAAGCAGCATGGACTGCAGGGTGGGGGAATGTGGAAACTGTGGGCCACAGCCAGCAAGGGTCACATGTAGGAGTGGCCTCCTGGGAGGGTGCGGAGGCCAATTGGGACACTGGGCTCTGGCAGGACCTGCCAAAGCCCTCCCAAACCTACCTTCCTACCTGGTCCTGGCCCCTACCCAGAGTGTTGAGGAAGGGGACACTTCTCTGTCCCCTTTACAGCAAAATCTCCAAAGTTTGTTCACATTCTCGCCTCCCATCACTCTCCTTCTGCTCTCCCTTGGACGCACTCGATTCAGACTTCCACAGAAACATCCCTGTACCACACTCTACCAAGTGGCTCGAGTAGAGGTCACAAGGAACCTCCATGTTGCTAAATCCAATGGCCAGTTCTCCATCCAAACCAAAACCATATCTGATCCCTCAGCAGCTTTGACACCCCCAAGATCTCCTTCCTCCTTGAGACTTCCATCTCTGGCCCTCCAGGACCCCACCCCCCACTCCTGGTTCTCCTCTGACCCCAGTGGCTGCTCCTTCTCAATCCTCCTGTGGATGAGACTGTTTAGACCCCCAGATCTGTTCCCCAGGCCTCTTCTCTTCTACCCCTCACGCTACATGATCTTACCTCCTTTGTGGCTTTAAATGCCTTATTAGCGGACAATACCTAGGTGAGCACCTCCGGCCTAGGCTTCTTCCTTAAACTTCATACATGTATAAGCAGCAGCTGAACAGACACCTGCACCTGCCCAACTTACGTGGCCAAGACCAGACCAACCGCTTCCTGTGAAACTGCTGCTCCCAAACTTCTTGATAAATGGCAATGTAACCTTGCAGCTGCCAAGGCCAGAAACCTCAGATCCACACTTGGCTCTACTGCCACCCATCAGCATATACTGTCTGCCCCACCTTTGGGATGTGGTCCCTTCTGTCCACCTGCTACTACCGTTCAGATGGGAGCCACTGTTACCTCTGACTCTGCCTCTCTCCCCATTCCCCTTCAGCTATGCTAAACTTCTTGCTGCTACTTCACTCCAGGCACAGGCTGGCCTCAAGACCTCTGCACATGTTCCTTCTGCAGGGAGCACATTTCCTCCCAAGCACCCTGGAGCCTGATCCCTTGCCTCTTTTCCTTAAATGATACCTCCTTAGCAAAGTCTTCCCTGATCGCTGTTTTTAAAACTGCAAACCCTTCTCTTTATACTCTGTGACTTTCTGACAGAAAGTCCTTTCTTTTCCTTATTTTTTTTTAATTTTTTTTTAAATTTATTTATTTATGATAGTCACAGAGAGAGAGAGGCGCAGAGACATAGGCAGAGGGAGAAGCAGACTCCATGCACCAGGAGCCCGATGTGGGATTCGATCCTGGGTCTCCAGGATCGCGCCCTGGGCCAAAGGCAGGCGCCAAACCGCTGCGCCACCCAGGGATCCCTCTTTTCCTTATTTTTTTAAAAATATTTTATTTATTTCTTTGAGAGTGCAGGCTTGGGTAAGCAGGGGGAGCAGCAGAGGGAGAGAGAGAGAAGCCGACTCCAGGCTGAGTGCAGAGCCTGATGTGGGGCTTGATCTCAGGACTCTGAGATCATGACCAGAACCAAAATCAAGAGTCAGGCTCAACCTACTGAGCCACCAGGAGCCCCCTAACATACCTTTTCTAATCCAGTTTACTGTCTGGCAAGCCCATTCCCTGTGACCTCAAAAAGCAGCTTCCCAAGACACGCTGCATCCCAGCATGGGGCACAGGGCTGGGCATAGTGAGATGCTCAGCCAGGGTCTGCTGTACAGAGGACTACAGGCCATGCCCACCCTGCAACCCCCACCAGCTGCTGAGCTAAGCCCAAAACCTGGACCAACATGCAGGATGGTACCTGCCCCTCCCAACCTGCTCAGATGCCCAGGCCAAAACCAAGGCCTCTGTGTCCTCATGTGAGCCCCATTCAAGACCTGGAAAACCAGGGTTTAGCTACCTTGACTGTCTGCTCTCGGATGGCAGGGTTGGTGTCCAGGAAGCCATGTACAACGTGGGGGAAGATCTGTGTGTTGACTGTTGGCTCATCAAGGTACTGGATAAACTGTTCCATCTGTGGTCCAGTAGGAGTGACAACACAGTCAGCCCTTCCTACCTGACTATGGCCACCGGCCCGTTTCATGGCTCGGTTATTCCCTCTACGCAGCCAGTGGCTAAACAGGTGAGTCTCCTGAACCCTCCAACTGGCATCTGGCCCTTCTCTGGCATTGGACCTCGTGGAGTGATGAGGAGAGCCCAGGAGGGTACTGGGAAGAACCAAGGACTAGGAGCTGGAAGGTCTGGCCTCTGGGCCTGCACCACACCCCTTCTTAGAGCCTCCACTGTATTTTCTATAAAAGGGGTTATAACCCCAACCCAGAAAGTGGCAAGGGGAAAACTAGCATGTTTGGCAGTTAGAGAGAGAATGATACCTGGGAACCTCTAGGACTTCCTGGCTTATCAGATGCCTCCACCCCCGATCCCATAGATTTGTCTGATACTTCCAACTGACCTAGAGTTGGCAGGAGAGACACTATACTATCCCTACTCTAAATGGCTAAAGTGACCAAGCCAAGAGATTGGATGGCAGGGGTAGGGCCTGCAGTTTGGGCAGGCTGTGCCTTCCCAAAGCTGCCAATGAGCCCTGTGATTGTCTCCATTTCCTAAGAGCCTAGCCTTACCAGTATCTCACCTGTGTGTACTTAGGGAAAGGTTTCCGGGGTGCTAGGGTGGGGGCTTTGGCTACCTGCTGGGTGCTGGAGGGGAGGCAGGGGTCTCCCCAGCAGCCAAGGCGGGGTCTGGGTTGGGTAGAAGGGGACAGGGTCTAACTATAGCCCCTACCTGCTGTAGGAGGCGGATGCGCATGGCCCGGTCAGTGGATGAGAACATCTTGACCACAACAGGGATGATCTTCTGCTGATACTCCTCAGCGTTGAGAAACTTGCCCACCTTCAGGAAAGAGCAGGAAGAGGGAGCTCAGCTACTTCCATAGAAGTGGGATGACTTGGGCAGCCCCGGTGGCTCAGCGGTTTAGTGCCGCCTTCAGCCCAGGGGTGTGATCCTAGAGACCCAGGATCGAGTCCCACATCAGGCTCCCTGCATGGAGCCTGCGTCTCCCTCTGCCTGTGTCTCTGCTTCTCTCTCCTCTCTGAGTATTCTCATGAATAAATAAATAAAATTAAAAAAAAAAAAAAAAAGAAGTGGGATGACTTTACTAGGCTCACTTACTTTCCTGGAACTCCCTGCTGATTTCCCAGGGTGGGAATGGGGTGATGGTAGAAGGAGTCAGGCACTTTCCAGCAGCTCTCTGCCCATACTCCATCTCAGGCAGCCCTGCCCTTAACCTTTCTGGGTCAAGGCAGCCTCCCAAGAGGTTGATGAAAGCTCTGTGCTCCTCCCTATAATCAGGCACCAATATACCACATGCACACAGAATTCTAAAAAATAATTCCTTTTTTTAAAAATCTGTTATTTTGTTTTTAATTATCCTAAGCCTTATCACATAATTTACAAATTTGTGCTGATGATATTATCACCTCTATTTTAACCCTTCTAATGCCTTGGCAAAAGCACCATTACCAATCATACATATATGGTAATTCTACAGTAGTGTCTTTGAATAGCTGTTTAGAAAATAATCCTGAATTATAACTTAGTCTTGATTTAGTAAAGAATTCACAGGCCAAGTCTGCTGCTTTATCTTGTCACACCGAATTTTAAAAGCAACTGACCGTACAGATCATCTGTAAAATGTGAGAAGTGTTAAATATTCTTCATTTAATATTACCACATAAACCACACTAACATGCCTTTCATTAAGCAAAAGGCAACATTTTAGATGCAGGGAATTTTAATTAAATTGGCATGGTTAAGACCAAAAAGATAAAGTGGACACTGCCAGCTTATCTTCAGTCCTTGCCTCTAACAGGCAAAGCAAAACAACTTGAAACACAGCCGAGTCTTGCTGTTCTGAAACAGTGAAGGGATTTCCTCAGCATTTAAATACATTAATATAACCAGTTATATAAGTTTAAATATAAAACCAATCTCCTATAAGTTTAGAGATGGCATTTGCCATCTCTGTGAAAAGATGAACATCAATAATCAATTCCAATCATACTTTTAGAAGGGGGAAACAGTGACAGCACTTGCTGAACCAGAATTACTATCAAGTTCAAAAAGCTGATTATATTCATTTAACCACAAGCCAGCCTTATTTAAACCAGGACTATCCAAAAGAAATATTCTATCAGCCATTCATGATCTGAATTCTGGTCTTTGAGACCCATTTGAATATGGTACACCTAAAAAAAGGTTATGAGACATTTTTGTTTTGTAATAAATAAGGCAATGGCCAACTATTATCCTTAGTAGCTCTTTTGAGATAAGCTATCAAGTTCAGTCTTTCCTCCGTCTTCTTAATGTCAGCAAAGATCATTTTTGTTCCAGGAATGTGCTTCTTGGGATTCTGCAAACACTCCATCAGTGTCTCCTCTCCCCAGGTGGTGCCTTCATTCTGGTTGGCATCCTTGTAAGAAAATCCAGGGACCTGACCTGTCTTTCACCCAGATAAACCACAGAGATCTGGCCCAGTCCTGTGCTTGCCTCCCTTTCCTATGGTATGGCACTGGGCACACCTCTCAACCAAAATCTTCTTGCCCTTCTCACCATCACCCATCTTTTTTTAAAGATTTTATTTATTTATTCATGAGAGACACAGAGAGAAAGAGGCAGAGACATATGCAGAGGGAGAAGCAGGCTCCATGCAGGGACCCCGACGTGGGACTCGATCCCAGGTCTCCAGGATCACACCCTGAGCTGAAGGCGGTGCTAAACCGCTGCGCCACCGGGCTGTCCCCATCACCCTTTTTAAATTTTTTTTTAAATTTTTATTTATTTATGATAGTCACATAGAATGAGAGAGAGAGAGGCAGAGACACAGGCAGAGGGAGAAGCAGGCTCCATGCACCGGGAACCCGACGTGGGATTCGATCCCGGGTCTCCAGGATCGCGCCCTGGGCCAAAGGCAGGCGCTAAACCGCTGCGCCACCCAGGGATCCCTCACCCTTTTTTAAATTGTTCTTTTGTCCCCCGGGAAATGAAGGTGCCCGCTGGCAAGCTGGATGTCCCTCTAACTCTAATTCTGTAATTTCTGGAGATTCCCAGCCATACAGGATTGGCTTGCTGTCTTTCCCCCTTCGGGGGAAAGGGTTCTCCCAGGCTAGATAGAGTAGGGAATGGTAGGTGCCCAAGTAAGAGTGGGCTGGGGTCTGAAGAAGGTGGGGAGGATCGAACCCCTAGAAGTCAAATGAACAGAGGGCCAAGTGGTCAGGAGAGAGGACGGAAAGTGGGGTTGGAAACTAGAGCGCACAAGTCAGAACAAGGGTGTTGTCTTGGGGAAATGGAGGAAGGTCTAGAGGCTCTGAAGTAAGGGGTCTTCGAAAAAAGAATTTTAGAGGCATAGGGTTTCACCTCCTCAAGGACAAGAAGTCCCCACAGCCTCCCTGAGATCAAGTGGCCCTGGGTAGCTGAACCAATGAGACATCAGCAGTAGCTCCTCAAGTGCATGTGTGTGTCTCTGTGTGTGTGAGCGTGGTCTGCCCCCTGTGTATATGTGTATCTGCCGTGTATGTGTGAGTATGGGTCTGCCGTGTGTGTGTGAGTGTACACCTGCAGTGTGTATGAGTGTGCGTCTGCCCTAACCAGGCTGTCCCTCCCCAGAGCCTTCTCTTCTGTAATGGACACCCACCCAGCCCCTGCCCACCTTGAAGAGCGGTGTGAGGACCACAGCTCCCGCATTGCCAAACTCGAAGGCGGTCAGCAGCTGGGGCAGTACCCTGTGCCGGCAGAAATCCTCAGGGAAAGAGTCTAGGCTCTTGCTCAGCTCTTGGAAGAACTTTTGCTTCTCAGCCGGCTCTTTGATCTGGGGGAACAAGGACAGAACACAAGTAGGAGTTCAGCGTCATCAGGCCATTCCTCAGCTCTGGGCAAGGACAGAGGGTCACCAGCCCCCACCCCGAAAAAGAACTTAAGCTTATGAGCTCTGGAGCTGAACTGGTCTGGGTTCAAATCCTTGGGCAAGTTCCTCCATCTGTGAAATGGGTTAATAACAATACGACCTCACAGAACTGTTGTGCACAGGAAAGCTGCCAGCACAGTGCCTGACACAGCATGGGTGCCTGGTCAGTGATCGTCACTCCCATCACTGCGCGTGACCTGTTGCTAGGAAGCCAGCTGCCTGGGGCATAGGCCCTTTGCCAACATGGCCTCTTCTCCCAATAACCCAAGGTGTGGGTACCATGAACCCCAGCACAAGGATGAGGAAACTAAGGCTCAGAGGGGAGAGGGCTTAGTTCCCCCATCCCCATGGCTCCAGCTGGGTTGGTGTTTGTGGCAAACTGAGGGGAAAGCAGGGATTAGGTGCAGTTGACCTCCAAACCTGGTCTTCCCACTGAACCCAAACAGGCCAGGCTGTCACCTCAATGATCCCCCAACCTCCTTCTGAGGCCGTGATCCCCACAACTCACATTTCCTGAGGATAGACTACAGACCAGTCAGAGTGATATACTAAAACTTTTACGCAGGTTAAATAATCTCGTCACAACTTGATGAGCTAGGTGCCAACATAGTCCACGTTTAATCCACCAAGAAAGCTGAGGCACAGAGAGGACAAGGAATCTGTTCAAAGTCACATAGCTAGGAAACAGTCAGGGAAGAGTGTGACTTGGTGGTCTGGTGCCTCCACTGTGCTGCACCTTGTGAAGAGGCACTCATCCTCTCATGTACAGGCAAGGAGGAGGCTAAGTCTCAATGTCACTAGCCAAGAGTGACAGAGCAGGGATTATAACCTACTTCTGCATGCTTCCAAAGTTCCTGAACTCATGATCGTACCTTCATTCCCCCAAGCCACCGCCTGGTGCAGAAGAGCTGACCTCTGGCTGGGGAGGAAGAGGACCTGGTTGGCACCTGAGCAGCCCAGTCGAGGGTGGGAGGGAGGCTTCGTGCTCTGACAGCAGGGCTCATGGGGCGCCAAAGCCCAGAGGAAGACCCAACCACACTCAGGGTTGCCTAGCTAAGCCCCCTCCCCTGGTCTGCCCTGTGACAGGAAGAGGGGCCCCCTGGCACTGCCCTCCTACATTCTCCTCAGGACTGGCCAGACATAGCCCGTTTCCTATGGAGCACATTTTTTAAGAAGGGCAGCCTGGAAGAGTCAGCCATGTGATTCCATGTAACAAAGATCTTGCCATCCCCACACTGCCCAGGAGGCACGGGGCTCAGCGTCTCTGGTGCCTCTGCGCCAAGATGCAGCTCAGGTTCCCCCCGCCCCTGCTCCTTCAGGGTCTGTGCAGGGGGCTGTCACTCTTTTCCCACTCCAGACTCTCTGTCACCTTTCTGTGTGCCCCACACATGGCCAGGTCAGAGCGGGCATCTGGGGCTGAGCCTTCCTCCTTCATTCCCTACAACCACCTACCGGCCAGCAGAGACTACTATTATCCCCATTATACAGACCGGGAAACTGAAGTCTAAGGAGATTAAGCCAAAGATTCCTTCCTCACATCTTTCCATGTGCTATTCCCCCTGCCTGAAATATTCATTCCCAGTTATCATCCCCATGGCTCCCACCTTCCTACTCTTCAGGTCTCAGCTCAAATGTCAGCCCTGAGAGAGCCCTTCCCTGGGCACCCTGACCCACTATTTTCCTTCCTGGTACTTACCCCTGTCCTGGGGAGTTCAAATTCCCTTATTTATGTATTTTCTGTCCCTCTCCACCAGCTAGAATCCCCGAGAGGGGGTACCTGGCCCATTTACCCCCTGCTTGATCCTTGAGGGCAGGGATCTGGGTCTGACTCCACCCCCACCCCACCACCCCCTGCCACAGCACATCGCAGCACTGGGCACAGCATGTATCAAAGCCAAGGCCACTATGCCCAAGTGGCTACTGGAGTGCCAGGGGAGTCCCTAAGTACCTACTATGTGCCAAACACTATGCTGTGCACTTCAGACTCACTGAATCCTCACCGAGCTCCTCTGAAGTAGTAGGTACGATTATTAGTAACAAGTGTCAGACAAGTCACACAGTAAGAGTCGGAACCAGGATCCAGACCCAGAAAGCCTGGCTCCATAATCCAAGGTTGCCTCCCAGGGTCTAGTCATGGGGGAGCCCACAAAGTGGGTAGGGAGGATGGGGTGAAGAACCCAGGACCAAAGCCCAGGATCGGCTGGAGGGCTCACCTGAATCTCTTCCAAAAAGAGGTTGGTCTCCACAAAGCGGTTGTTCATGAAGCCGCCGGGTGCCCGGCAGTTCTGCAGGAAGCGGGCTGGGTTGGGACGCACCTTGGGGTTGGCTCCAACTAGTTCACAGTAATGGGGCACCAGCGATTTGGGGATCTGTGGGAGAAGGGTCAGTGGCAGGGCAGGGCTGGTTGGCTGGCGGAAAGGGGCTGGGGTTGGGTCAGACACTCACCTTCCCAGGGTTGCGCAGGGCAGCCGCCCGAGGTAGGGGCCCATTGAAGACTTCCCAGATGAGGCAGCCCAAGCGCCACATGTCAGCTGACCTGAGGCAGGGATCAGAGCTGCTCCAGGCCCTGCCACCTGCTAGTACAGGCCTCCAACCTGCCTCAGGCACCAGACACTAACTATATGGCAAACCCTGAACTACGTCCCTCAGCTGATCCTCTCATCGGCTCTGAGAAGTAGGGTTCATTAGTCCCATTTGACAGATAAAGAAAGTGAAGCTCAGAGAAGGAAGGACATCCACCCCAGATCACACATCTTTCAAACTCAGAACCACCAAAACACACCCAAAGCCTGTGTTTATCCTGCCCTACCTCTTGGAGGACCCTGGTTCCCTCCCCAGCTGGGCAGCAGGGGACAGGGGAGTGCCAACTAGTTGAGGGGTCCTGAGACTACAGGAGCTTCCAGAATAGGGTGGGCTGGGGCATGCTGCCCCCAGTCACCCACCATTTCTCTCTAACTGCTCTGCCACTGCCATCAGCCAACTCCGGGGGGTCATACTGCTCAAGTTCGGGGACCCCCTTCCGGGGGGGTCCCCCACCATTGCCCTGGGCCGAATACATGTAGTCCAGACCCCCCAGCTTCCACTCGCCGGCACGGTCCACGAACACGGCAGCCATGCAGATGTTGTTGTGGATGAGGCTGCAGTCATTTACCAGGAAGCTGAGGGCTTTCTGGGGGCAGAAGGAGCCATCACACTCCAGCAACTGAAGTCCCCCACCCTGCTCTCATCACCACTGCCCCCCACCTCACCACAATCTGGTGTAGGCCCCAGGAGAGCTCCAGCTCCTTCAAGCCACCAGCCTCCGCTCGCTCCTTGAGGTACATTCCCAGTGGGGTCACTGCCTCTGTCACTACATGGAGGCATTTGTCCGTCTGAAAAAGGGGACATGGTGTAAGAGGAAGGGAAGATGAGAGGCATGGGGAGACAGGTGGAGAAGGGCATCAAATTTGCGGGTGCTGAGGCAGGAGGGGTGGAAGCAGGAAGGCATGACAGGGAGACTGGAAGAAAGCGAGGGGGCAAAGACGGGGCAGCGCCCTGGTTGGGTACCTCCAGCCCATCGATGTAGGCCAGAATGTTGGGGTGCCGGAGAGTTTTGAGGCGCTTGAAGGCAGCTTTGGCCACCTGGGTCTGCTCATCGGCACCGGGCTTCACATCATACACGAAGATGGACACCGGGCTGCCTGTGGCCTGAGGGAGGAGGGCAGAGGAACCTGAGGGATGTGGGCCGGGCCCCAGGCGACCACGCCAGCTCCGAGATGGTCCCCAGAGCTGCTAAGCGCAGGGAGGAAAGGGCCGCCGCCAGTCTCTCCCCAGGTCAGCCCTCGGGGCCTGAGTCGGGCCCACGTGACCCTGGTTCCGTCCGCCTGTTGTCCCTCGGTCCTCCGCCCGCCACGTCGTCACTGACCGTCCCCCTCCCGCGGCCCGTTGCCCCGGAGGCTCCGCAGCCACGTCAGGCGGGGCGCGACGCGGCGGGGCCGGCGGCGCTGACTAGGCGAGGCCGAGGTCGGCCACGGCCTGCAGAGCGGGGCCGTGCTCACCTTCTTGCGGCCGCGGTGCAGGACCCAGGGCCCCGGCGGGCCGCCCTCTGGGGGGTCCGGGCTGAGCTCGAACGGGAAGTCCCGGACCGGGTCCCGGGCAAAGAACCACATCGTCTCCGCCGCCGCCGCAGGCTGGGGCGCCTGTGCTCCGGGTCCTCAGGCCGCCGAGCCGGGGGCGGGGCGAGGGCGGGGCCGGGGCGGGGGCGGGGGCGGGGCGGGCAGCGCGTTGACCAACTGCAGGCGGCGCGGCGGGGCCTTGCCGGCCAGGTGCCGCCGGTTACCAGGTGCGTAGCTCTTAGCGGCCCACCCCAAGTCTCTGAGCCTCTATGTCCTTGTTTTTTTTTTTTTTTTTTTTTAATATTTTTTTCTCTTTATTTATTTATGATAGTCACAGAGAGAGAGAGAGGCAGAGACACAGGCAGAGGGAGAAGCAGGCTCCATCCACCGGGAGCCCGACGTGGGACTCGATCCCGGGTCTCCAGGATCGCGCCCTGGGCCAAAGGCAGGCGCCAAACCGCTGCGCCACCCAGGGATCCCAATGTCCTTGTATCTAAAATATAGATGGTGGTAGAGTCCACCTCCCCTCATTACCATGGGGATGAGAACTTGAGAAGGGACAGGGGATGGAGAAACCGAGGCGTGGAGGGAGCAGAGATACAGAGACAGATGGAAGAGGAAGTCATAGGCAGACGCGAAGGGGTGAAGTGAGAAGTGGGGTAGATAGAGAACTGGGGAGGACGACTGTCCCCAAGCCAGATGTTCTCTCCCACCAGCCAGTGGGCGGCTCTGGGATCCAGTGAGGCATCGGTATTGGTGGAATGACTGGTCAGGGAAGAAGCCCAAGGAGACAGAGGCCCTGAGAAGCAGGGCCAGGGGATGGCAGAGAGTGAAGCAAAGGCCTAGGGGAGGTCCAGAAACCCTGCGGCAGGGAGGGAAGAAGCAGTAACTCTGGAAAAGAGAAAAGTGGAGGGGGAACGGCCCAGAAAGTCCAGAAGAGGCCAGAGGGCCAGGAGGGGCCCCTGCTCTCCTGGGCGCAGCAGACCTGGCTGTCTGGTTTACAAGGCCAGCATCTTTTCCAGGCCCCACATTGCCTGTGCAGGCAGGCATATCCTGTGGCAAAATGGTGTTAGCAGCTCAAATGCCTGGACACTGGGCAGGCAAAGACCCCCCCCCTTCAGGGGAAGGTCTCAGGGGACCCAGGGTTGGGGACGGTCCTGCAGCCACACCCTACGGGGCATGGGTGAGATCCTAGAACTGATTATGAAATGTTAGTTGGGAGGCCCTCCAGAACAGATTCAAGAGCAAGGATGTCAAAGTCAGGAGAGATGGGTTGAAATTCCTCACCTAGTGGCTCAGTCGGTTAAGCATCTGCCCCTGGCTCAGGTCATGATCCCAGAGTCCTGGGATTGAGTGCCACATTGGGATCCCTGCTCAGCAGGGAGTCTGCTTCTCCCTCTGCTTCTCACCCCACTCGTGCTTTCTCTCTCTTAAACAAACTCCTGCTCAGCTCCTCTCACTGGCTCCTCTCACCTTATCCTCTGAAAGCCTTGGCTCCCTCGTCTAATAAATTAGAATAAACAGTCCCTGCAAGTCACGTGACAGAACAGCCACTTGGCACAGACTCCTGGTCTCCCTTTCCTTATCCAACCCCCTGTGACGGATGGTCACACAGAGGGAGGGTTGGACAGGGTGCTGGCTGCTCAGAGCAGAATAGAAATAACCACTAGAGATTTTCCCATGCAGCTTCTATAGGAAGACAGTGAGGACTGTCTTGTAAATATGGAATTTGCAATATTGTGGGGTGGGGATGGGGGCGATTTGAGGTCTTGAATGCCAGAATACAGAGGCCAGAAGAGGTAAGCCAGAGCCTGAGCTGTGTGTTTGTGAGTGTGACATGATGGAGATGACATTTTGGAGTCATGGTTGAAGGGGACAGTTTAAGAACATGCGGTTCATGTAGTGGCGTTTCGTTAGTGGCATGTTCTCTTAAGCACCTGCTAAATGATTTGTCTGTGCAGTGCATGGGGCCACACCCAGAGAGGAAATGGGTGCAGAAAGAGAAAGCCAGTGGTTGGGAGAAATCTGGGAGTTCCCAGTGCACAGAAGGACAGCAGGGAGGTAGGGGCTGAGCCTAGAGCAGACTAGGGAGGGCACACCAGAAAGCACAGCCACAAATGAAGAATAAAGTCTGCTCACATACATCCACCACTTAATCCCTGGACCCTGTGAATATGTTACCTTACATGGTAAAAGGGGACTTCACTGTTGTCATCAAGTCAAGGGTCTTGAGATGGGGAGGTTTCCTGGTGATCCACGTAGACCTGATGCAATCACGCTCCTCTGCGCATGAGGCAGGAGGGTCACATTGAGTGACAGATGTACCAGTGGGAGCAAGAGGGCGGAGTGGTGTGAGGGAGGGGTCATGAGCCAAGGAATGCAGGCAGCCTTCTAGAAGCTGGAAAAGACAGACTCTCCCTTGCAGTCGTCAGAAGGGATGCAGCCCTGACAACACCTTCGTTTTAGATTTTGGAATCCGGAACTGTAAGATAATAAATTTAAGCTGCTAAATTTGTGGAAACTAATACAACAGGTACATTGGAGGGTTTGTGAGTTACTGTATGTAATTGCTTCAGTGCATAGCATGTAGCTGGTGCTCAGTAGATGTGGATCAGAGGGCTGCTTGTAATAATGGAAAAGTGGAGTGATCTACATGTCCAGCAGGAGTGGAGGGATTCAAAACTCTACCCATACTAGGAAACCACAGCAATGGCTAATACAAAAGAGGCTGTTCTATAGGTATTGGTGTGGAGACATGATGGTGAGATGACAATGATGATGACGATGATGTCACTGCTGTTTTCTTTTTTAAAAAAAGATTTTATTTATTTATTCATAGAGACACAGAGAGAGGCAGAGACATAGGCAGAGGGAGAAGCCGACTCTATGCAGAGACCCTGACACGGGACTCAATCCAGGGTCTCCAGGATCACGTCCTGGGCTGCAGGTGGCGCTAAACCGCTGCGCCACCGGGGCCGCCCTCTCTGCTGTTTTCTGAGTCCTCCCTGCATGTCGGGCACTGAGCTGGGTGCTCTCCCTCCTTGCGATCCTCATAATAGATAGGATCAAAAAGTAATTTGAACGGGGAAAGTCTAACAAAGAATTATTAACTGTAACGGGATCGGAGTAACAGGGATTGGCTAGTAAGAAGGAAAAATACTCTAGAGACGGTCATCCCAGGGCAGAGATAGAGCACTTCCTCCCCCAGCCAGAACTGCCCCCATCCAGGCCCAAGTCTGAGGTACAGACCTGGTTGGAGAGGGAACATCTGTAGCTCACTGAATAGTAGAGAAGTTGCTGAAGTACTGCGCAGGCCCCATGGAACTTGCTGGTAACATACTTTAAGGGGGCTGGGGAAGAGGCCCTCCACGACTCCCAGGGTGGGAGTGGGGTGCTAAGGGGAAGCAGCTGATGGTGGGTCCGGCTGGCTACCTGTGCTGGAGGAGCCTGGAGCTGGAAAAGCTGTTCCCTGGGGGCCGGAGCTGAGCTGGAGAAGCTAAGCCTACTGCAGAAGCCAGGTGAGAGAAGCCTCATCACTAGAAAGCAAAGCCTCTTCTTCAAGAAATGGCTGTCAGCGCCCTCTGCTGGCAAAATTTACCATTGTTCTACCGGGAAAGAAAACTATTTAAAGGGCCCAGATCCGTTTTTCACAGGCAGATACAATGAATTTGGAGCCGAGAGGCAATAAATAACTGGCACTGAAACCTTCGTTCCATTTCCACAGATGAGGAATGGAAGCCCCAGAAAGGGGAAGCAGCACAACCAGTCCTAGGATTTGCTTTGCTCTACAAAGTGTTTAGAAAGTGGGTTGCAGGGATCCCTGGGTGGCGCAGCGGTTTGGCGCCTGCCTTTGGCCCAGGGTGAGATCCTGGAGACCCGGGATCGAGTCCCACGTCGGGCTCCCGGTGCATGGAGCCTGCTTCTCCCTCTGCCTGTGTCTCTGCCTCTCTCTCTCTGTATGACTATCGTAAATAAATTTTAAAAAAAAATTTAAAAAAAAGGAAGTGGGTTGCAACATCCATGCTATGTCCTTGTGGTAATAACTCCACTAACCATGAACATGCACAGACATACTCTCCAGGCTGGAGAAATACATACCAAATGCCAGTGGTTCTCTCCAGGGCATGGAGATTACAGGGAGTTCTTCTTGCTATATTACTAGGTTGAACAGTATAAAATCACTGTGTTTGTAGGTCAAAAAATAGTGAAATATTGGAAATTTTTTTCAGATTTTATTATTTATTCATGAGAGACACACAGAGAGGCAGAGACATAGGCAGAGAGAGAAGCAGTCTCCATGCGGGGAGCACAATGTGGGACTCAATCCTGGGACTCCGGGATCATGCGCCCTGAGCCAAAGGCAAATGTTCAACCGCTGAGCCACCCAGCCATCCTGAAATATTGGAAATTTCATACAGCTCAATACAGTATTTCTGTGATGTGATATTTGATGTTTTTATGAGTGTTTACTTTTATACACAAAATTATATATATACACGAAACATAATTACACAGGCACATATGTATACATTATAAACATATGTATTATGTATGCGTGCTTTGGAAAGTCCTTCCTCTGTCTTTTTTTAATATGCACCCCTATGTTTATTGCAGTATTATTTACAATAGCCAAGATATGGAAGCAACCCTTCCTCTGTCTTTTGCAGCAAAGTTATCTTTCCCTTTCCTTTCTATTCCCATAAAATAGAAACTTTATGGGACACCTGAGTGGCTCAGCGGTTGGACGTCTACCTTCGGCTCAGGGCGTGATCCTGAGGTCCAGGATGGAGTCCCACATCAGGCTCCTTGCAGGGAGCCTGCTTCTCCCTCTGCCTGTGTCTTTGCCTCTCTCTCTTTCTGTATCTCTCATGAATAAATAATAAAAATATTTTTTAAAAATAGCAACTTTAAGCTTAGCTAACAGGGACCCACAAAGACTTTAGGAGAAAATAATTGTTGTTCAACCCACTATAAGATTTCAAGAGCTGGGGATCCCTGGGTGGCTCAGCGGTTTAGCGCCACCTTCAGCCCAGGGTGTGATCCTGGAGACCCGGGATCCAGTCCCACATCAGGCTCCCTGCATGGAGCCTGCTTCTCCGTCTGCCTGTGTCTTGG